GCTTAAGTAATAACTGTAAAAATTTTATTAGGTGTAACATTATGAATTCCGTGATTTTAATCTTGACGAAGGCCATAACTTCAGAGGTTTGAAGATCTGGTTTTACTATCCGATCCACATCGGGCTTCATCTTCTTTGTTTGTTTCAGACTGCGCAAGATATCATGTCGTATGCTGGACGGCATAGAGGCTCTCGAGCAATGTCCTAGTCTAACGTCGCTGCACTTGATTGTTGGCTTCGCGGAATACGCCATAGTAAGCTGCCTGCCTCCACTGTGAAAACTCCACATTTGAAATGCGGAGGTGTGGGGTTTTCAGTCTTCACACTTGGAAAAACAGAGTGTGCAGTGTGGACTCAGATGAGTACGCACCTCAGCTGTTCGTATTACCGGGCGTTAGGTGTGTACTCATCTGAGTAAACTCATCTGAGCACACTCTTGTGGGAGTGAACTCGTCTGAGCACACTCTTGGGATTGTACTCGTCTGAGCTCAGTCTTGGGAGTGTACTCATCTGGTCACACTCCTTGGGAATGTATAACTCATCTGCGCACTCTCGTGGGAGTGTGCTTGTGAGTACAGTCGACTCTGTCATTTTGTCCATTTTTGCTGTTGTCATTTTGTCCACAAGTCATCCCCGCCACTTTGGCTGGACGGGCGCCGCCGGCCAGTGCCTGGCCTCGCCGGCCCGGGACTGACCCAGCCCAGGTATGGATTACGGCGGCCTAATCCGCCCAGGCTGTTTTAATTTTGTCCACAGCTCCTCCCGGGTAGGTGGACAAAATGACAGAGTCGACTGTACACGCTGAGTTGTTGAGTTTGCAGAGTGCGCCTTATAACTTTTCGATTTTTCAAAACAAGAGTGCGTTCCACTGCAAGAAAAAGTGTAGATAGTACAACAAAAGTACAACAGAAACTGTGCAATAAAAGTACAACAGGGATTGTAGAAAGTACAACGCGAATTGTACAAACCACAACGAGCCCTGGACTGCTCAGCACTCCTCATGCCGGTTCCATTGCACTATGTACAACAATTGTTTAACTTGAAAAGTACACTAAATTCCTGATAAAAAAAATTTGCCACAAATTTGTGTACTTTTGTTGTGGTTATTTCCTGCAGTGTCCCCTACAGTGGGCGGGCGGACGTATTTCCGTACTTGTCGCTGAATCCCTCACATTGTAATTTCTATTCCCGCAGGACGCCAGCCGCTGGCCCGGTGCGATGGCCTTCCTGCGAGTCGCCTCGCTGAAGCTCACTCGCCTCAAGCTGGGAATGTTCATTTCCGAGGAACCGGCGGAGCTGGAAGACCTGTTGCTGTCCGTGGGCGGCACTCCCGGCTCCACACCGCCTTCCACACTGCAGTGCCTGGCTTTGGACTTCTGCCCGGGCGACTTCGGGAAGGATCGCGTAAGGGTGAAAGACTTCCCGCCACTTCGCCTCCGTTCCCTGGCCGCCATACTGCCGCGACTGTCGAACCTGAGGCATCTCACGCTGGGCGCCGCACCCTCGGCAGAGTTCCTGGACGCCATCAGCCCCAAGGCGCTGCCGGCTCTCGTCAAGTTTGTGGTAAGAGACCCACTTCACTGGCAGTTTTCCCACGTGTCTGACTAATTTTTACGTCTCGGCTTTCTAAATTCACTGTGAGAAAAAAGTACGAAAAAAGTACGGAACAGGTCTGGTCAATAATTTGCCTGGATCGTCCATACTTGCCAACCACGGGACGTTCCGTACTCTTTTTTCCGTACCCATTTACATACTCTGCAAACTGAAATGTGTGCATGGCACGCTCTATTTGGAGCATGCCAAGAAGCACGCATTAAATTGGAGCGTGCTTGGCAGGCACGCTTTAAATTAGAGTGTGCTTACCAGGCACGCTCTAAATTAAAGCGTGCCTGCCAGGCACACTCTATTTTAAAGCGTAGCAAGCTCACTCTAAACTACAGCATGGACCGGACGGCAACCACACTCCTGAATGCTCGTAATGGCTTTTATTTTTTAATTATTTAATACATATGTACTAATGCACGGTTTCCATTTCATACTTTAGGGAAGCAACATTTCAAGTTTTCATTTTATACATCAATAGTTGTGAAAACAGCGGAGAAGCTTTGTTGACGTAAAACACATCTCAGCACTAACACGACTTAAAATGTTGCTTCCCTAAAGTATAAGATGGAAACTTTGCATTAGTACATATTTAGTGGTTGCCGTCCCGTCCATGCTGTAGTTTAGAGTGAACTTGCTAAGCACGCTTTAAAATAGAGTGTGCCTGGCAGGCACGCTTTAATTTAGAGCGTGCCTGGTAAGCACGCTCCAATTTAAAGCGTGCTTCCTGGCATGCACACATTTCAGTTTGCAGAGTAGGTTCATATGGAGCAGGTGCGAAACGTTCCGTTCTTTTCTCCGTACTTCCGTACTATATTTTTCTACCATTTCCGTACAAAAGTACGGATTTTTTTACAGTGAACTAAATGCATGATAATGCACTTTTCATGCAACTATTCACTTTTTATGCACAACTATGGTACTTTTGACTTTGACCCATACGAAACAAATGCATTGTAATTTTCTGCATCAAGACAGTAGCTCATCTACGCTGTAAGAAAGGCGTAGGGTCTGTCCGCTTATAGGAAGGCGCTATGTCACTCCGCAGTTTTACCGTACCGCGTTGGAAACGTTAAAAGCTAAGAGAACTCTCTTCATAGGATAATAGTCGAATTTTGATTGCTCTACAAAGTCGGAGGGCTGACTTATTACAATGGATATTTTAGAATTGTTTTTATACATGTCAGCGACTAGTTCGATGAGTTCGACAAAAATCTCTTCATGATGATTTTTTTTATAGCCTTGTCTGAAATCGTCAATACATTTTAAAAATAATAATCCTGTCATTATTTATAGCTACTGTCGTATCGAACACCATTAAATCAATGCCAATTCTTTCGACTAACTAAACGTTGCTCGCACGCGCAAGCATTAGTGCATTCAAAATTGTTTATTGCTAAAGAATGACCTTCACTCTTAAAACCTTACGAAGTATTTTGAGCATACATATAACAAACTAAAATACTTTGTTATACGAAGAAATAGTTCGTAAATTACGAAGTATTTTCTTTGTAAGCTTACGTATGCTCAAAATACTTTGTTATACAAACTACTTTTCTTTGTAAGGCCCAAAATAGTTTGTAAGGTTTTCTCAGTGTTTATTACTAATCGACGATTTACTTTTTTTTTTAAATCCCAACTCAGTCTTTGACATTGTCAGAGTTTCATCTTGTATAGTTTTTGGTTGTTTCTGTTTCCAGCTGTTTTCGTCCCAAGGCTGCAGCCATGAGTGGTTCCACACTGGAGTGCTGACCGCCTTGCTGAAGCGCAACCCCAGACTACACGCGGTTGTTAGGGATGGCTGGTGCAGTGACTGCCTCAAAGACCTCTTTTCTATCAGAGAAGATTGCACCTTCTGTGTTAACGAGTGCCAGCCTCGCTGCCCGGATGGTTTCTGGAAAAAATACGGTAGCGCCGTGTTTTTCTCACACTCTGATAGTGACCACTGTGAAGTGAACGAGATTCACGACACGGCCTCTAAATCCATGAAAGTGTAGAGGTTCAGGCATGTTCAGTTAGCCTCTGGCCTGAAGCCCTACGCTGTCCGATAGCCAGCTGAGGCTACCCATGTGGCAGTGCACGTCTCCTCAGTGGGCCAGAAGACCGGTGGAGGCAGCCAAAACTCGAGACGCGTTTGGAGCTCCAGAATCGCTACATGAGACTGGAATCGAACGTGTGACCCCACCACTGGATTCCTCCTTGGGGGAGCAATTCATTGGTGGGGTCGCGCGTTCAGTTCGAGTCCTGTTTAGCGACTCGCTGGAGCTAAAAACGCGTCTAGAGTTTCAGCTGCCTCCACCGGTCTTCTGGCTCACTGTGGGCTAAAGCGAACTATCCGAGGTTTATAATCCCCCGAGTTAACCCAGAGACAGATGAATGTTGTCAATGAATGTTTTAAAGTTCACTTTCTCATGATTATTTTGTTTGCTCTTAGGCTCTGTCTATATTTATCGCTTAACATTAGAATTTATGAATAAAATATTAGTTTCCTTCTCTTCAGAAGTTTCTTTCCCCTAGTCCTTGAATCCAGTCCACTGTTGAAAAAAATTACTCAAAATTCATAATTTTTTGTAAGAAGTCGATTTACTTACATTCAGTCTGAATTTTCACACCAAAAATTTCATACTTCGTGGTCTTAGAATTTCAGAAGACGCTAGTTTGAATTTTCAGATCAATTAATCAGAATTATACCTATCGGTCTTAGTTATCAATTCCCGATCATGTGAAATTGTCACCAAAAAATCGACATTGATACAGTATCCATGGGACCACGTCTGTGCCTAAATTGCACTGGGAAAAATCCTGTAGTACTGTAGTAATACCGCAGTAAATACTGTCGTGATTAGTACAGCTGTCACTGCTGTTCAGAGTACAGGATTCACTGTAATTTTTAACGGGATCTACTGTACTTTGTACGGGATCTGCTGTACCACAGGAGTGGAGTACGGAATATACCTTACCAGGTACAGTAAATACTGTAGCCAGGCACAGTATATGCTGTGTTCTGAACTACAGTAAATCCCGGCAAAAAATTAACGGGATTCACTGCGGTTTTTTTTTTCAAACAGTGTGTTGCCCTCGTTATTTGGGCGTGTGTCCGTGTCCTCGGTGCACTGAAGCACTGCACTTTCCGTTCCACGAGTGTGGCCGGATACGTTGCCCCCTTTACCGCGAAACAGATCGGGTCCAGGGCCCCGAGAAGGCAGAGGATTAAAATGCGCGTCTCCAAGGGGCCGCATCTTGACCCAGGTTCTCGGAATATTTCCCCCGGCCTTGCTTGCGAACACGGTGGGGACGTAGAGCGACGTTTCCCCGAAAAGGTGGCACGGAATCGGCCGGCCGGTCGGCCGATAAGTCTGGCAACGCTGGTTCTCCACCACACGCAGGGCGCTGAGGGGCGCTTTCGCGGTTCGGGTGCGTTCGGGTTCCGACTTCGGACGGGCAACGAAGGCGAGCGACTCCAGCGCTCTCTACCCGGCCGAGCCTAGCATCTGGCCTGGCAGGCGTCAACAAGCCAAGCGAAGCGAAGCGTCAGCGTCCTGTTTCAGTCAGTGCCCAGTCCCAGTCCAGCTTACTGCACGGCGCGGAAAAGACGTGATCAACGGACATCGCAAACACCATGAGTACTACTAGGTGTACAGGTTGGTTCAGGAACTGTCGATGCACAGCCCAGTCGGCCAGCAGACCGGCGGCCGAAACTTCACACGCGTTTTGAGCTCCAGAGTCGCTGAACAGGACTCGAGCCGAACGTGTGACCCCACCGATGGATTCCTCGTTCGGAAAGCAATCCATTTGGCGGGGTCACACGTTGGGTCCGAGTCTTTTTAGTGACTCTGCGCCGGTAAAACTAAAGCGTAGTATTACCCTCTGTTTTCAAGCGTAACAGACACTTCTAGCAGGGCCTGGAGTGAAGAACAAGAAGAAGAACATAAGCCGGAAACAGTTGCCAAATAACGGTTAGCCCCAAATTACCCCCAAAAGGGCTGATTTCTTGTACTGTTTCCGGTCTACGTTCTTATTCTTGTTCTTCACTTCAGGCCCTGCTAGAAGTGTCTCAGGTTACGCTTGAAATCAAGCGTCACAGGCTCATCCGCCAAGATCCCCCCTATCTAAATACATGAGGAAATTCCAGAGTATGGTTCATTTCAAGCGTAACGTCTTCAAGCGTAACTTTACGCTTGACTTCTGGAATTTTTGCCACACGTGTTGTGTACTTACAGGCGTTTCCCCCTCCTGAATGTGGAATGTGGTCAATTTTTGTACAATGAATGTGGGAAGCTGTTCCCCCCTCGGATACACTAGAGATGTAAATGTTGGAGCACTCTCAGATTTGTCCTTTTGCTCTCATTGCAGTCATCAGTGCCTTCTTTCCGGGTAGGGCTGGGCTGTCCTCGTCGAGGCCTGCCAAGGTCAAAAGCACTGCCGGCTTTGACGCGGTGCGCAGCGCTGGCATTGGCCCTCCGAGGTCCGGCAAGTACTCCAAGTACGGCTGGTACGGCAACGTGCCGTTCGATGCCTCGCAGCTCCAGCACCTGCTGCAATCCATGAGCCTGACCTGCTTCCCGGGCGAGGAATCCGACGCTGCCAGCAGTGACGACTCGAGCGACGATTCCAGCGACGAATCGGTCGTTGAAGCAGAGGCTGCCACCCCGAAATGCGACTCCGAGGTAAGTCACACTGTAAAAAATTCCGTACTTTTGTACGGAAATGGTACAGAAAAATATAGTACGGAGGTACGGAGAAAAGTACGGAACGTTCCGTACTTGCTCCATATGAACCCATGTAAATGGGTACGGAAAAAAAGTACGGAAAGTTCCGTAGTTGGCAAGTACGGACGGTTCAGGCAAATTATTGACCAGACATGTTCCGTACTTTTTCCGTACTTTTTTTCTCACAGTGCAGATCCCACCAAATTTGCAGACAATTGTAGGGCATTCGTACATAACAGTGTATCTACTGTGGGATTCCCTACGAAGATACGTTGTTCTGTCAGATGACCACTCAATTGCGGTGTGGGAGGTAATGGTGAAAATCTTTCTTTCTTCAAAATGGGTCCCCCCTGAAAATTGGTTAAAAAGATGCTGAAGTTTTACTTCATGAAGATTTTAAGATTACTGCTTTGTAAAAGAGAGTTGTTCCATAATAATTCTTGTAGCAGTTTTGTTTTTTGGTCTGAAGCTGGTCCCTAATATAGATGAGCCCAAACCTAAAGAAAGGGCACCCATCTCTAATTGGTTTCAGTGTTATTGAAGTTTACGTTCCAAATTCAGTCATTTCTATCAAAGTCTCCTCTCAAATAATACGAGAACACTTTTCAGCCTTCAGCTCCTGGTCAATTGATCCTAAAGTACATATAAAAAAGGTTCCGTATGGTTTTCCAATATCTGTGCAAGTTTTGAACTGTCACTAAGATCTTGGTCGAATTTCAAATTGCTGTGTATTACATCTCTTCTGGTCAGAAAACTAAATGACACATTGAAAATAGGCGTATGCTGTCTTATTCATGTCCTCTAAGATTGATTGGTCTAAAGCTGAAAGGCTGGAAACTCTTTTGGTATTCGTGAGGAGAATTTGTAAGGAACTACTAAAACTTAACGTAAAC